GAGGGATCCTGTAAGACGAGGCAGAGACGAGATGCAAGATCGACGAGTCGCAGTGATCGACGACGAGTACTTCGGGCATCACTTGTTTCCCCCGTGCTCGGCTGCTACATGGGTTACAAGGGCAGAAGCAATGCCACATGACTGTTTCAACACGATAAGCCTGATGGAGTGTTGGGTTTGCACGGGATCGCAGGATTTCAACACTCCGTCCCTGTCATGGGTATGAGCAGGCTCAGGTACTCCCTAAGAAAGTATGTCTTGCGCGGACATGACTACATAGTTGCCGCACACCGACCATTTAAAGCAGCCATGCCGCAGCATCAGTTCCCTGCAGCATCCTGCAGCCTTACCATGTTTGAGTTGTGCTTGGTGAGATATCAAAGTGCCTCCTAGTCGCTTGTACAGATGTCTGGGATGGCAGCTGCCGCGGGCATAGCGGCGGCCTAACATCATCGTCATGTCCGCATCGGCAGACGCCCTCAAGACACTGGGCCCCTCGGCTTCAGATGGCCAAGCGCGCTGTGTCTTCGATGTGCCTTTCCCTCCTGAAGACCCCGCTTCTCAGGCTTGGAGCTGGGATGCAGCCAGCAGGAGAGCTGGGTTTCGGGTTGAGCCTGCCACAGCATTGACCCTTCCCAGCCATGCGGCTGACGACGGTGCACTGCATTGCAGTGAGCGAGGATGTGACTGGGGCCTTCCGGAAACTAGCACGCCAGCATCATCCGGACAAGGGAGGAGATCCAGCTGCAGTCAGTGCATTCAGGTGAACCTTGTGCCAACCGTGTTTCCAAATAAGGCGACAAAGAGGCATTCCAGAAATTGAGTGCTGCAGCGTGGCCGGCAATTTGGTACAGAAGCGGTGAGATGGTTTCGGTGAAGGAAGGCTTGGCGAGTTTTCTGGTGTTGTGTCGACAGAAACCCGGGTGCCAGTTTCGATGGACAATAGAACAGCTGCTCATCAAACTTCAGCAGCACTTGCGCTGCTGGCATTCACGACTTAGGCCTACGAGCTGCTCAGTACCTCACTGCCATGTGCCGCGGAGACACAGCCATGCGCCACGGCGCCCAAGGCAGGTCGGACATCTTTGAGTACCAGTTGGGCACCGAGCTGAAGTCATGTCCAGGCTCCGAAGCGTGCTGCCGAGTCAGATCGCTTCCAGCGTATGTGGGCAGAGGCCGGTTGGGTGGAAGGAGCCGAGCCACGGGACAAGGTGCTAAGAACTCAGAAGGTGCAGGTCGAAGCTGGAGGAGGGATCCAGCCCATCCAGAGATGTCCAGTGCAGGCCAGGCATGTCCCTAGCACTTCTCCCGAAATTCCGCACTGACTGCGATACCGTTGTATATAGCTTGCAAACTGAGTACACGAGCGATCCGAATTTCAGCCGCAGATGCAAGTCTGCTCCGAAATCATGGTTAGGGAAGTCAGTGCCCGGGTGGATCCGGGTGGAGTATTCGGAGAGTTGTGTATGACCAGCATCAGAACAGAACCACATTCCATGAGTCCGTGATGGTGGCAAGGCGCAGCGCCAAGCAGCTGTTGAGCGCGCGAGGCGCAAAGCGGCAGCCTCACGCGCAGCAGCGCAGACCAACGCTGAGCGGGCAAGAGAGGCAAGGTGTCAAGCGGGAGAGCAAAGGATCTTAAAGTTTTCCTGCTGCCATCCGAAGCAGATTTGGTTGTGCTTCGCAGGAAGGTCGCAGGCGCAAGAAGCAGCGCGAAGAGGAGGAGCTGAGAGAATAGTGAAGAGTTTCCGCAGCGGCCATTCCGAATCTTTAAGGCCTGGCCACACATGACAGATGCATAGAAAGACTTGTCATTGAGCACAGAATCTGCCGTTTGAAGAAGATAAGGCTATGCAAGTATATGCAAATCCGCTAAGTCAGGTGTGTCTGCTCTGCAGGAGCGGCGTTGCTCGGAGGAGTGGGAAGCTTTGAGGCCGTGAGCAGGAGTAATGCTTGCCAGAATTCGACACGGCTCAGTTAGCTGGCAGGCGGGAGCTTGCGCAGCAGCGAGCTGCAAATGCGCAGCGTTTTGCACAACGCCGTGCGAAATGGTCTGCACAGCACCGTCCGAGCCCTGAGATGCGGTGACCATGTGGCAAGGGAACTGTCCGTAATCCAGTAAGCCGGTCAGTGTCCAGTTTGTCTTGCCCAGGTGCTCACGTCTCCGGGGTCAGCTATGACATGCAGGCTCGCAGATCTTTGGGATTTTGGCGCGCCTCACTTCGATTCGATTCGGGCTCGGTGCTAGCATTCGGGGGCTGTTATACCGCCATACGAAGGCAGAGTTCGCATCCAACTTCTTGGTTGCAACATGCAGTGAAGAGGCTCACCCGAGCGTTACCATCCCTTATGGCCTTGTGGCCTTGTATCTTGCACGGTTGCTTTCAGCAGTTGCCCTCAGCTCTGTGTGCCTTGACTGGAGGTATGAGATGTTTGTGATTTTATTTCGGAAAGTTTTGTGCATGGCGGTCGATCTCCTCCCTACCTCCCCCTCATGGCATTTAGCATCCAGTAACCGGCTGTTTCAGTAGAAGTCACAAACTTGTCAGACTTTGGAAGCATGCGAAGCACAAACACGACTATGGAATACCGAGTCTTCTCACATATGCCATGTACAGTTATACTTAGGGACCACTCTATCTCTTTCAGGCAGCTTCTCTGCGAAAGTCGGTTTTTGGCCTGCCGGTGGTGTTTTCGGCCCATGAGGCTGAAGCCTTGGAGATCTTACGATGGTTTCGACAACAGCAGGGCTCTGGTTCCAAGCGGCCACGCTCGAGTGAGGAAAAGTCGGAGCTGCTCGGCTAAAGGCTTGAAGACATTCTGTGCGAAACGCAGTATGTCGTCTGGACCTTCGTCAGCCCACAGAGGCCTCCTCCCAAGCTGGCCCGCGTGCTTCAACGTGGGCATGGGCGGAGCCGGGCTTCGGCAGAATGAGGCCCACCATTTTGCAGACTTCGCAGTATTTTGCACTCAAGTGATGCGAAGCATGACGGTATTGATTCGAGATGATTCGAGCACACTCCATCCGGTCGCTTCAGGGACAAGACATGAGTGCACAACTCCTGCCAGGTTCGGCTTGGCGCTTCCTGGCCGGATGCGAGCTTGTGAGCGCGCCGAACTTCACAAGCAAGGGAACCGTGAACCGCAAGTCTGGCCATCCGACAAAATGTCGAGGCAGTACTTGCGCCTGACTTGTTGCCCTGAATCTCAGACTTTTGTTGAGGAAAGGGTTGCTCTACGATTTGGCTTCATGCAGTACGATCAGAAACTTGACCACCATTCTTCTGACCAGGGTTTCCCAGAAACAATAGTCTCTTCGGCCAAGCGGGCACAAAGGCGAGCTCGAGGGGTCGCAAGGGTCATTCAAGAAGATGGCCATCCGAAAGTTGCGTTTTTTTGCCAATCCTTCAGCTCGCTTCGTGCAAGCGAGCAATTTGTCTTCGCCTTCCCGCGGTCAAAGTGACCTACGAAGTCGGTCAGCAGAGCTGCGGGCGGAAAGGATTTGAGATGCAAACGCTGTGTTCACGATTCACAACTTCACGCACTCGATAGATCTCGATAGTTTAGGCTGCACTGCCAGCCAGACCCCAGCTTTCTGCCAGGTGGGGAGGATCTGCACTGGTTGCTCGACAGGGCCAGGGAAGTTGCCACATTCATGCTTCGATGCAAGTCTACAATCGAAGTGAACTGTCTCTGGTCCTCGACTGCATGGTCACAGCCTTTGGTGTCTCCGGCCTGGCATGCTGTAAGATTGCTTGTAATCTCCAAGGTTTTGTACGATGATCGCACCAGTGATGTCACGGTGGTGCAGCCGAACGAGGATGCAGTGTCAATAAGCTGCCCAATGCATCGAAAATAAGACATCGTAGCCAAGCCGATCGTTTGCAGGACGGTTCCTACTGGCGAAAAGTGCAGCACCAAGACGGGCTGCAGCTCACGCGCATCTCAACATCCTAGCTGACCTATACCTCATCGCTTCTGTCAACAAAGGTGGTGCGAAACAAGGTTCACCGGATGAAGGAAATGCGACGAATGAAGGCTGCAGAGCGCTGGGCCAAGAAGGCCGGACGGAAGGTAGCACAGTGAAAGATCCTGCTTCATTTGGGGTACCCCAGGGGTAATTCAGGGGATCCCAGGACTACCCCTTCGGACCCCACCTCTCTGGGGAGTGTTTGATTTTGCCGCCGCAGCTGTTGCGTTCACTGGAACAGCGTGCTATGCCAACGCAGGAGAAGCAACTCGACAAGGCCGGAGCCTGTTCAGACCTCCGGGTTTTGGCCGCGGGCAACCACTACTCCCCTGCTTTTCCAGGTCAGGGTACTCTCTTCCTACGGACCGTACAAGACAAGCTCTAGCAAGGCGCGAAATTCTGTCTAAAGCCGGTCATCCCTCTTCCCTCCATTATTTCTTTGTGCAGATGGCACCAGCTCCGGTCTGCTCAGCTTCTTTCTAGGTGCGCAAGATAGCCCGGCCTAGCCGTGTAAAAAGTGAGAAAGGTCATGGACCTGTCCACTCGAGCGATCGATCCAAAGGCCCGGTCATCTTTGAGAAGCCCGGGGGGCAAGTAGGCTTCGCTGCCGGCTCCTCCGAGCAAGGTTCCAGTGCTTGATATGACTAACCTCTGTGAAGGTACCGGCTGCTTTTCGAAGCTGAGGGCAAACAAAGAGCGGCCCCTGCCGCCTGGGCAACTCTTTGGCACATGCAGCTTCTGGAAGATCGATTTCCTGGCACGGCTCCAAATGTCCGTGGTAATAGGAGGCTTTCTCTTTGGCTGCTGGGAAGCCTGTGTACATCGCATCAGTGACCTCGACGAGACCTCCGTGTGCTCGGCGCCGATCGTGCAAAGGTCGTTAGCTCCGGGCGCCCGGTGTGTTTCTCGCGATTTGCTCGACGAGTGGGCATGTCCGAAGAAAATCATCACACCACATTTGTTCACACCGCAGAAGCATGCCTCTGATCTTCCTTAGACCCGAAGCCCCCAACCCTGTTGAAATTCGCAGGATGCCAAGTTCCTTGCCGAAATCCACGAGGTGCAACGCCAGGCAGGCGAGCCAGCAGAAAGCCCAAAGGCGTCTAGATTTCGCATGGTACAAAATTGGCAGACTTTCGTCAAACTGCCTCCAAGGTATCATGCAGGAAATTGCCTTAAAGGTATCATAGGATATCATAGGGCCACATGGCCTCCAAAAACTCGAGGAGCAGCTGTCCGATGTGGTACATTCAATCATGCTTGCTTATGATTTTTCGTGACCAGGCGAAAGCTTATGAGCGAGGCTGGAAACAGGCCACGTTGAAACTTGCTTGAGAGCGAGGAATGCTCTCGTGTCTCACCATCATGATCCGAGGCCGTCCTCGATTCCAAAGAAATGGAGAGCATGACCGGGTCCTGGTACCTGTCGTTGCCGACCTTTGCCGCCTTTTCACAACGCAACACCTCTTGTACGATTCCGGCTGGAACCTGTCAGTTAACCAAAACTCATGTCTTGGAGCCACGGCAGGTAGGCACCTGTAAACTGGCCCAGAGGCTGAAGAAAGAGCGCCAGCATCGACAGCACTTCAGCACCCTGGTGGCAGAAATCGGTTCTGCATTAGTTGCAGACGTGTAGAAAGGTCTCGCTGGCTCAGCTTGGTCTGTGCAGGTGACTTCGTTGAGGACTTGGAAAAACGCTGCTGGATGCTTCAAAAGGACCCTTCTCTTTTGATAGAGACGTCCACTCACGTCCAAACGTACCGCGGCATTAGGACCTGCGTTTGCAGAGTCTTCCTGAAGTGCACCGGCCTTGGTTGCGGTGCCACAAAGCTGTGCCCATACACTTGCCACATGCTGTAAGCTTGCCTTTCGGTTTCGCTTTGTTGGTTGTGTGGCCGAGGTTGGCTGCAGAGCGGCAACAGGCCCGACGCTTGACTGTTTTGCCAGCAGGTTCTGCCAGAGTGGTAGGAAAGGCAAGAAGCCCGGACCCGGGCAAGGCAGCTTTTGCCGCCTAGGATGTTCTGGAGTCCTGCGAGGCTGCGGCCATTGCACAGAGAGCTGTCGACTTCGAAGACCGGTGCGAAAAGCTTCAGAAGGCCATGAGCGCCCAGTCTTCAAGCTCGCGCCAAGCAGATCTCGTTCTACACAGTCGTATCATACCAGGAGGACCTTGAACAATTGGTTTCAGCCACCAGCAGCTCTAGCATCATGACAGCTAGGTTGCCATCTGTGTCAACTACGGCTTCCTGTTCTTGTGTCGTGAGCACTGCGGCTTGTCAGAATCTCGACGACATGCACATGTACCTAGAGAAGTCAGGTCCTCGGAGGCCCTAAGCAGCTTCGGGGCAAGAGCCAATGCCTTTGCAGTTCTTCTAGCCTGTGTTTCGTGCCGAATTTCTCTCAGCATCATGGGCAGTGTTATAGCTTTGGCTGATGCGGGCCCCCTTTTCGGCGGCCCTCGTGGTATTGCAGTCTTGGTGCAGCAGTACTTCCGTCGGCCGCGTACCGGGTCGCACAGTCAGAACAGATCTCCGCTTCACTGCATTGTATCATAGTTATATGAGTTATATGATACATGTAGTGCCACGGTGTACAGAGGGGGGTCACTCGGCATGAAGCACTGGATCGATAGCGGTGGCTGGTTATTCAGTCACTCGAGGTGGAGTGCATGTCAAACTATTGAGACTTTTGAGCCGAGGTTGAGCGTGGAGAGTGCTGAAGGTGCCGTGGCCGTTCAGCGGGCTAACGAGATGCAGGAGCAGTACGACCAGCTGTGCCACACCCAGCGAATTTCTCCCTTTTCTGGGCTTGTATACTTTCCGTGAGCTTTTCATTCAGATATTCCTGAACACGCAGCTTTTCATTCAGATATTCCTGGGCACTCGGTAGCCTTTGTATCCCACACACAATGGTCATGCGGTACAGTTCAGGACTGTCATGGGCTTCAGTCACACGCATGTCCGTCGCCTGTCCCAATCCTGGCCCCACATGAGAACGAATCGCTCGTGTTGGTCATCATCAGTTTTCGCGGTATTTTTAGGCTTCATATCAGTTGTTCACCGTAGCCATGCAGGCAGTAGTCGGCTTCAGCTGATTGCGTGATGGAGGTGAGTCAGCACACAGCATACAGGACATGCACAAACACCTCTCCTTTCACTCCTTCCACGGAATTCAAGGGGCTGATTTGCCAGCCATCCTGCAGCCGGATGTGCAGCAATAAAACACCTGAAGCAAAGGAGATTGAAGGCGATTGACAGTGCCATATGGCTAGTTATACAGCTATGCAAAGCAGTACAGAAAGCAAGTACCACTTGATTCCCAGTCACACATGTCCACTTCTGGACGATAGCCCTTCATGGGAAAAGACGGCGGCTGGGGCAAGAAGGCCCGCACCCACGTGAGTGAGAGCTTTTAGCTGTCCTTTGGCATGATTGGTGCATGCTTCCCTGCCGCAGGGGGGGTACCAAGGCGCCGGTGGGCGGGCATCTCGGAGGGTTCACGTTCTGATTCCACTCGCATTTGGTGCACTCATGTGCACTCCGACTTTGATTCTGTAAGGCCCGCAACAGGCTCCGGCAGCCTTCAATCCCGAATTCCGCGCCAGGTCCGGCAAAAGCCATCCCAGCCAAGGAGCTTGGTGTGCGGCCCAGACCCTTATGCGGTAGTGTAGGCTTCCATGGAAAGCCAGAAGGTCCAAGGATCGCGGAGGAGCTGCGGGCGGAGCTTGGGGTGCGCCCGAGATGTTGGAAGGGGCGTCTGATCCGTACGGTAGCGTGACATCTCCATAGGCAATAGGATGGCGGGCTGTGGTTGCCTTTCTGGTCTTCTGGGCAGGCAAGGGTGACCAGGACAAGGGCTTCAAGGACTGAGCTCTCGCTGCCATAAGCAGATACGGTCCACTCGTGGCTTGGACCGAGCTTGCAGGGCGAGAAGGGAGGCGAAAAGGGCAAAGGCAAGAGGGGCCCCGACCCTTGGAGCTACGTGCCGCTGTGCTCAGCCGGATGCCAAGTGAAGGGACAGGTTGTGGGATCCAGAAGTGGTGTGCCCGGTGGCTGTTCCGTTAAAGGACTGCTTTCAGCCTTTAGCGAAGAAGCCATGTTTCTGATTGCGTCTTTCGTCTATGAAACGACTTCGCAGACCTCCTGGCTGGTCACGAGCAGAAAATACAATCGCTAAGCAAGCACAGTCAACGCAACAGAGCCTTCCAAGTGGCACTATAGTGCTGCCTAGTCATTCATAAGTTCGTCATGCTGGCCCCTTGACGACATGCTTTGAGCCATGGCCAAGCGGAATGCACCAGAGGAGATGGTCTCGTGTTTGATTTGCTCCCTGCGCTCTGTTCGAAAAGTGCTTTGCCGGATTTCTTCTTGACCCTTGCACCAAAGGAGCCTCTGGAAGAGACACCGCTCTTCAAGAAGGCACGGACAACTTCATGCTAGCCGGGTCTGCAACGAACAACTCTGGAATCGCTGCACATGTCTTTCCTTCAGAAGCACCGAAGCTTGTTGGACCTCTAACTGCATCGATACAAGAAGTGTCACCCGGCACTCAGCTGCTGCCTCAAGATCTCTTTGCTTCTAGTACCTGGCAGGCCAAGGCATTGGCAGCTGACGGTCGAATTTCCCATGCAGAAGCAAAGGACTGCAGTTGTAGGAGCGACAGGAGGGTTGCCAACCTAGTGTGGCGTTTCCGAGCCTGAACTAGCCTGGCAATGATGCCAGGAGTTACGGGCTCAGCTCTGTAAACCCTGGGATCTCAGAACGTATGGCAGTTCGACAGTGGGGACTCTGAAACTAGTCTTGTTCAGAACCTGGCGAGACGAAGTTAGGCTGGTGTAAAATGGGTGCCTCCATACTTGCTTGCCACAAGGACTTGTGGGCGGACGGACACCTCTCAAGCCGGGACGTGGAAGTTCTGCCACTTGGAGCTATAGCCGTAGCCATGCATGTCACCTCCCACAAAGAGCCCTACTGCCAAGGCGCCATGCAATGCACACCTTTCGCTTCACGTGCCTCGGCTAAGGGGTTACGATGTTTTGCATGTGTAGACTGTGTGACTGTGTGGTGCCAACCTCCGACGGGGCCGAGGCAGAAGGCCTCTGCCTTCTTGCAGCCCTTATTGCAGAGCCCGCGGCGGACGACCTACTATCGCCAAGTCACTGGGAATGCAAGGAGGACCCGGGAATGCTACATGATGCCGCTAGCTACCGGGCTGCTGCAGGATGGCGGATAGCACTCCTATTCACAGGGTCAGCCCTGGTCGGAACAAACTCCTCATCTCAGCCCAGCAAGAGCTGCATGTAACGATCCTGTCGACGAACGCAGTTCAAGATACTCAACTCGAGTTGAAAGCTTGAGGTCCAGGGACAGCGATTCGACAGAAGCTCGGCCTGTCACAATATTCTTTGTTCAGACTTCCCTCTGCCACTCATCCCCTTTCTCTGCCCTTGAAGTCCCCGAGCCTGTGGCCTTGCCTGGGCACGTGCCAGGAAGCAACTAGAGTACAGAAACCGCGGCAAAGAAGGATATACAAACACAAAGATGAAATCGTTGCGCCGAGCGCCGGATTGCCCCAGCTTAGGAGAGTTGTTGGACATGGCGGAGCGATATGTAGGAGACGGCCACCTGGCATTCTACGTAGGCTGGAGGGTTGTCCGCTCCTGGAGTTTGCAATCGTGTCCACTCAGCAGAGGGTGTGACGCAGTCTGAGCCATCTGAGGCCAGATTTCTTATGCGGAGGCATACAGCTTATGGCGAGCGGCACAAGATGGCAAAGGTGTCACTGAAGTTGAGAAGAAGACTTTGCAATATACACTGGCGCAAATGAAATACACCCCGAAGGCCGGAAACCGAATCAGTGAGTGCAAGAGTAGCCGACATCTTTGTCGAATCCTACTGCCAAATTCTCAGATGCCCTGGTGGGATTCGTGCATGTTGCAGAACATCATGTCACAGATGTATCACCTTGCAGATCGGCTTCGTGTTGGGTGCCTTTTGCAGGCCGCAGTCTTTCAGGTTTTAGCCAGGGCCGGGCCGGCTTTCACGAATGCAGGGTGCGACCAGGTGCAAGCGCCAGCAAAGGACATCCTAGTTACAAGTGGATACTCAGATAGCCGAACTTTCACACGAAAAGGGAATTCCCAGACTAAAACGTACCACGCAATCAACTTGAAGACCCCCCGCCAAATCCTCCGCATCGGGAGGCTTCAGCGTTTTTGAAGCAGAAGCTGAACGGCAGACAATCTGGGATGCTTGATTGCAGTTTCATCCGCACCAACATGCTGCGACCTTACTGACCTCTTGGAGACTGGATTGTGCCCAGTTTTGTAATCCTTCCCAGACGCCTGTCCGCACCATGCTGTAGAGTGCAGAGATCGGCTTGCACAGCGCTCAGGAAGTCGGCGAGACCCTCGAAGTCTGCTAAGCTCGCCAGCCCGAGCCGTGCCAAGCCTTCTGCACCTGTCGAGGTCAAGGCTGGCTCAAGCGCCCAGCACAGAACGCCACTATACGCCACTCGCGACCCCAACCCCAACCCACTACGCCGCAGCATCAAACAAGTGATTAGGTAGGCAGGTCTTGCCGTCTCAAGGATTCCTGACTGATTTTTCGCAGTTAGACTCTGCGAACATGATACCCTGTGAGATGATAAGCTGGTCTTACACCATCCGAAGTGGGTGCGCTGCAAGCACGTGTAATGCGTGACAAGCATGGCCTTGCGAAACCCTTAACAGGCTGTGGCTTCTGCAGAGTCTGGGCCAGCAAAGACGGCAGCAGCCAAAGCAGCGGTGCCAGGTAAGGCCAGAAAGAAGGAACCCTCTCGCGTGGCCGGCTTAGCATTTTCTGTCTTGGAATGGCAGGTGAACCACCGCGAAGTAGTAACTATGATAGTGCTGTTTGGGATCTACGTCAGTGCGCTGGACCAGGGGCATGAAGGCCAAGCACAGAGCTCAACGCGCCACCAGTGCACCTCGAGGGATCAAACTGCTCTGCTCAGGTGCTCGTGAAGTGGAAGTGGGTCAAGCGGCCGAACTCCCGCTTTCCGGCTTTTCCGGTGGTCATGCCCAGGACGCTCGCTGGCTGACAGAAGCGTTCTGAAACCTGCCATGCCACGCAGCAGTATTCCCGCAGGAAGGAGCATCGCTTTTCCTTGGTGGTTTGCCATCCAATGGGCTGTTATTCCACATTCTTTCTCGGCCCAGAGGGTCTGGTGAAGGATCTGCTCGTGCCTGGGAGCATTGGAGGCTTCCTCCTGCAGTGGGTTTGGGGCGGACGGGGGCTTTGGCAGGTGCAAAGCCGCTTGATCCGCGACTACTGCAAGATCCTCTGTCCCGGACGCTCGGGAATTGATGCGCTAAATATTTCGTTCTGACGCTTGTTGATTTCTACTTTCGTCATGAATGCCTGAAGCACATTTAAGCCATCAAAGGTGCTCAGCACATTGACTGGGGCAAGTGACCTGCATGCAAGCAGCCGCACGAATAAGGGCATAGTAGCATGACAGCAACTGATTAAAGACGTCGCGCGTGCGTGCCAGTCACCAGTTCAGGCAATGGTTTCGATACAGGACAGCTTTTGTTTTCCACGCTAAGCCATCGAACGTGAAGGAAGGAAAGGCATCGCGGCAGCAACGCTTGACCGTTCGTCGCTCTCGGCCCTGAAGATCGTGGTTCTACTCATGGACAGGAGCAATCGGGGCGGCACGCGGCGATGCCACGAAGAGGTCATCTCGACGAGAGATCTGCAGAAGGCTGTTGACTTCGTCTCCGGCGTGGCCGCCTGCCTGCACAGGCGTTCTTCAAGCATGAAGATTGTGGAGCCTCGTGTTGACATAGGTGGGAGCGGAAGCATCGCAACTGGAAGCTGCTGACCGTGTCCTGCTGGGCGGCTATTCTCAAGGCCTGTGATGCTCATGGAATCCTGTGCGGCAAGTGGTGTTTCTGCGCTGCTGCAATTATACAGTAGTGTCCCACCAGACTGAACAAGATCCCGAGAACTTGTGTAGGCAGCCCGTATATGACGATGTCAGACAACACCGAAGCTCCGGACGTGAAATCTGGCAGAGTGCTGGCTATCGTCATAAGTCTGGGAAAGGTAGAAACCTTTGCTTGACGGTGACCCAAACCCATGATGGGGGTATGAGGGGGCTTTATCATGTTTGCAAGTGCTTCTAAGCCGGATGCTGCAACACGTTCTCCCTGAACTGCTTGCAGTCCTGAACTCCTGAACTCTTCTTGCTAGCAAGAGCTCTCTTCTTCTTTGTTTATCTTCGTTTGTCCTTCTAAGCAAGAGCTCTCTTCTTCTTTTGTCCTCGTGTCAGGAGGCTGCATTTCCTTGGAGGTTGGTTTGGCTCTTCCCTTCGACCTGGGTCTCGTGATCTCGCAGCGCGGCATGCTGATGAAGCAGACGCGGCTTGGGCCGCAGATATCCGCAGTCGTGTCACAAGAAAACTGCGAGTGAGGAGCTAATCAGCTGATGTTCGAGGCTCTCTTTCTGCTACAGTACCCACTTCGGAGGATCTAGGGGTGTTTTCCAGAAGCTGAGGATGGACCGCCACGATGCTTTTGTGGGGTCTGATGTCTCGGTGGGACAGCCTCAGGGCAGTCCTCCAGGCACGGGGTGCGGATGTTTGAGGTTTGACATATTGAACCGATGGTTTGAGAGCAGTCTCCGGAGCTGGTGTGAGCTTGGAGCTTGGATGCAGGTGCCGAGAAAGTGGCGAAGCGCCCGTGCAATTCACCCTCGGCCAAGCCTCGGGCCGCTGCCTCAGGGGCATAGTAGCGGGGGTCTCTTGTAGCGCAGAAGACGACATGCTGTCAAGCACAGGTCTTGATGACGGCTGGAGTTTTAGATGACGTCTACCTGCTTGCGAATCAGGAGTGGTGCAGTTGTACATATTTGTTCTGTATAGTATAGCTTCAAAGGAGTCGACTCTTTCATGTCAAACTAGTATACAGATGTGCGTCACACAAGAATCGAGGAAAGCTTGGGCCTGGCTCCCATCCTCGTCTTTGTTATGCCATATTATGCCAAGTATGTCACGTGTGCTCCGCACCCGCGCGCTGCTGGAACGATTTCCAGCATGGCATCAAACGTTCGTCTTGCTTCAGGAAGATGGGCGCAACTGGCTCATGAAGTACGGCTGCGAGGTCGATTTCCATGCTCTCCAGCCACCTGGCAAAGGGTTCTGAGCATCTATTGAAGTAGGTAGTAGAGCAAAATTTCCACAGCTTCCGCCGATCCAACTGTCAAGAAGCTGTCCAGGACGTTGGACCACTACGAGAATTCGCGCGAGGCCAGACGCACGGGGGGTCGTTCGCATTAGGCGGCCCGATGGAGAAGGATTAAAATCGAATGCTCAGTGGTCTTGAAGGAACATGCGCTGGTTCGCAAAGCAGTGCTGGCCACCTTCCGGCGTGCCAAGAGACGCAAGGCAAAGAAGGCCCAGTTTTGTGGGATGAAAGTTAATTTTGGTTGCAAGGCGTAGTGATGCCTAGTGTCATGGTTCCCCCCTCGCCCAGACAGAAGCTCCGCAGCTGATAGGCACGAAGCCTTCGTGGAACGCCCTCGCGTGAGGCGCCTGTGCACCTGTCCCAGTAGCTCCTTGGAACGGCTCAGCCAAGCTGACGTTGATGACATGCTCGGGGAGGATCGGAGGATCGCCCACCTTTGAACTGCAGGGCATTCTCCCCCTCTCCGCGTGTGTATATGTGTGATACAGTACCTCCCCCGATGTTCCATGTTCATATTATCTCCCCTCTTCAATCCCATGTTCGTACAAATATCAACCTCACACATCATTGCACACTGTTTTGGCTGAGCCAGTGTGCCTCTGGAGGCAGCCCCAACAGCCGTCCTTCTGGCCGATGATGTTAACGCTCTTCTCAGGATCGCCATAGGCGTTTCCTGAGCCCATAGCTTTACGGAAACGCAGCTTAGGCCTTCGTGCTGTCGCAGCAAGGCAAAAGGTGCCTTCAATGGGATCGGACACAGTACTTAACTACACATGTTGCTTTGCGAAGACAGCATGGAGCATGCTGCGCGAACGGAAAATTCTACGAGCACCGGAGATGCAAGGTTGTGGCACGCTGCTGGCATGCCACATACTGATCGTGACCAGTGTGACGGACTAAGGGTGGAGATCCGCTTGGAATCGCGGAGATCTACAATGAGGTACCATGGCTTCCGGTATTTGCCATCGACTCGTATTGACAATTGATCTGGATATGTCGCGCAGGGTCCGGGACTAATCCACGAAGAACCGGTAAACTACACCCATCCCTCTGGAGACATGGGATCTGACAGTGAGGCAGGCTATGATGCCATATGATGTCATTGCCTTCAGGTGCCAGCAGCATGGCTCGACGTCAGCCATGGTGGCAAACCGTGGATAGAAAGGCGCGGCCAAGCCGGTCGTGGCACTGTTTCGTCCATTTTCGAGAGCTGCACTCGGCCAAGCAAATCGTGGACTATGGAGGGTTTGGAAGAGCGTGCATGCGTGTAGCTTGAACTTTGGAAGGCTTCATATCACGTTTGCTCTTCGCATGAAGAAGATGGACCACTTGGACCGCCTTGAGCAGGCTGTCCAGTGGTTTGTTCAACATCTGCGAATTTAACCGATTTCACTCTCGGAAATCTGCTTGACGAATTGAGGGTTCAAAAGTGGATATCTTGAGTTGCTGATAGAGGCATGACATGAGGACCGATTATTGAACGGCATAGCAGCGGCACGTGAGAATTTACCAGCCATGCTGTGCGCGGAGGTATGTGGTAGCTCCGCGCCTGTCGAGTTGAAAGTGAAGGAGCTCTTTCTCTCCCGTGTCGATCGGATCAGGCTCTGCGGCACTATTTTGCAGGATGGCATCTGCCCATGCTTGGGCTAAGATGCAGGGTACTGTATTATGCATTGACCAGTACCCGGACCGTTTGCAACGCAGTACCTTGCTTGTTCGTTGTGGTACCGGGATGTAGCTGGCTTGTGGAAACATGTGTCAGGGACGCCGAAGTCTACTGCATAGGAGCGGGATCCAAACTTCTCGCTGTGGACGGCGTGTCATCTGTGCTCCGACTCCACCCATGTTCAGGATTCTGGAAGCTGAAAGTGTTGTCACAGTGTCCATGACCCCGAAAAATATTGGAGAGCATGTCTTAGACAACTGCTTGTTGACCTGCAAGTGCAAAATCCTGGCAGGAGTAGCCTTCGAGTCTCCTGGTCTTCGAGCTCTTAAGGACTGTCATGAGGGCCCCACGTCAACCCTCCTATGCCAAGCAAAGCATGCTCAACGCGGGTGCTTGTGTTGGTCTGAGGACGCCTGGTTGCAAGGAGAGCCGGACGAGCATGCTCGGTGCCGAACCCAGGGTCTGCTCCGCAGACACGATCCCTGAGCATCCAGCGCTGCCACTAAGGCGAAGCCATGATCCCTATCCGACCAGCGTCAGAGCCTTACTATGTGCCGTCTGCCAGAGAGGCGAACACCTCGCACTTCCATGGCATCAGGATGGACACGTCTCCCTGGCCTACATCCAGGCCCGTGCTGCACGCAAGCCTGCTGATGGTTCAGACTTGTAGGCACCTTCACCCCCTTCCCGGCCCATTTCGCCCCCAAATCCGATTTCTCTCGCGTTGCAACAGCGAGCCCCGGTTCTGATAGTTCTGCCTGGCTACAGAAAGGCATCTAAGGCGGCATATAAGAACATCGAGTTGCCGGCGAGACTTGACATCTGCAGTGATCTGAAACGTCAATTAGTGCTAGTGCTAGTTTGTGCATGATTGCAAGCACCCCCTCGCCTCAGGCGTCTGCTTGGCAACAGGCCAAGGACTTTGTAGATGCGAAGAGGACCATGCTCTATAATGTGCAGAGCTGCAGAGACGAGTGCATTTGCGTGCATGCGTCTGTCGGGTTAGACAAACAAGTCTTACGAGGTGTTCTTTGCCAGGATGTGCTAAACGGGTTGCCTTGGAGTTTTAGGTTCGCGCGGTTTCATAGACACGGTAAGGAAGAAGTGTGTTACTTTTGGTCTAGCACTGAGCAGGACCGGGTTGGAAGGCCGTAGCTTCATGGTGCAATCCATCACCTACGAGGCCTGGCTGTTGGAGTTCATGGTACCCTGCCATCATCTCAAGCATGACAGCACTTGCTAGTTGGTGGCTACTGTAGCAGCTGTAGCATGCAAGCTTGCCATGTGTATTAGTTTGTTATGAGAACCCTTGCAGCAGAGCGGTATCTTCTATGCTAATGTTCGGTCAGGCGAGCTTCACATACCTGTGAGTGACCAGTAGCCACGCACCCAACAGGATGAACGGCGGGAGAAGTCCGAATTCCGTCTTACTGGTGAAGAAGGTGATCGGGCGGCACTGCAGCCAGTTGTGCTAGGTTCATCGTTTCTTACTGAGCCGCAGTGCTCAGACACGATTAGCATCACCAGTTTCTCAAAAGCATGGGCGAGGTCCACCTGCAAGTGTGCCGTCCCGCGGCGGCAGGCCTCGGGACCCATCAGCGAACCATTATTGCATCCTGAAGCAGCCTGGATATGCGAATGCAGTGGCTTGTACACTGGGCTAGTTTAAATCCTGATCCATTACCCCGTCAATGAGTCTCCCAATTGGAAGGCCAGATCCAGCATCCCCGGAACCTAAACCTCTCTTTGAGTGCGTGGCCTGAGCACCTGGCCAAACATCGCATTGCGACGTGCAGCATGGAGAGCAGCTAGCTGCAGCATTCTAACAGCCACCTCCATGCTCACACCAGAACGTTCAAACGAGACAAGTGCAGCTAAGGCTAAGGAGCTCAAGAGGAGAGAGCCCAAAGAGACGAAACTTTACTAAACTCTACTGGATGCCGTATCGCTTCGGCCAGTTTATTCCCAGTGTCAGAAACTACGTAGTTTTTTGTTGCATCGCCAGTGTATGATCTCTTTGTGCTGACTGCTGCTAGGACTGCGGGAGCTACAACATCGCTTTTTGAGGCCATGTGTTCGCTGGCAGATTCGGTCGGTCGGTAAATCAGTCATAGAGAGTCAGGCAGCTGATGCAGACCAGGTTGGGTTTAGGCTCGGGCCGGCAGGTTGACGGCTCGGTGCTGGAGGGCGGAGGACAAATCCTGCGGAATTCGCTGGGCTACGCAACTTGGACAGAGAGCAGGGTCACGGCTATTGGCAGGTCTTTCAGAGTCTCCCTCGCTTCGGCTGCAGAGTTCTGCAAAGCAATAAGAAACTCGTGTTGTTCCATGTCTGTCCTTGCTGCTTACGAACTTCATGACGCACCCAGCTACTCAGGCAGCCATCCTGGGGTATCCGGCCGCTCCTCGCGATTTGAGTCTACTCGCTGACGTGTGCGTCACAAGCAGTCCTGCATGAACACGAGTGTTGGCGGCGGAATTGATTCAGTAAACACACATACACACAGACAGCAATAATTCAGTGCAAAAGTGAAGGGCGGTTGGTCGGGTTTGAGTTCCAGCGCGGAAATCATCCCTACATCATTCTGGCGGCCTTTCTAGGGCAGTCCAAGACTTGACCTCAGCCTGGAACTCAAGGTGCGCATCACCAAGATTCGAGCTGGCCGAAAGACGCCGGGGCTCGCAGCCCAACATTTGGAATCCTTCAAACTAGTCCGAGCCTCAGCACACCGGTCGGTTCAATGAGAGCTCCTGAGTTCACAGCGCCTCCCAAAGGTGCGGGACTTGACTTCCGCGTCTTTGCAGGGTGACAAGGTCCTGGGGGTCCTCGCAGTGCTGTGCCGCGAGCCGTTGGCTTGGTGGGAGCAGGTCGGCTCCTGCGAAGTGACCTTTGAGCCCAAGAAGACGAAGCAGGCTCGCCCATGCTTCTCCCCATCTCTCTCCCGACCAGTGGTTCCTGGATCAGGCAGGCTTCGACTGCATTTGTGATCGTGGCATGCCGTGCAGGGAAGCTTCTCTACCAACCCGAAGACTGCTGGTGCCATTACCTTGACGGTACAGGTGGGCAGAGATAGTTGCTTGATTTCAGCATGGTTCAGGTCAGGGCTATCGATGGATGGGCTCATTACCTTCGAGCTCGTGTGATTTTGCCAGGCGGCCCTCATGCCACTGGCCTTTGCTGGCGGAACCTCCGAGGCCGACCTCTAGTCTGAGCCGAGAATGCTTTCGTCTCAGAGACAGTAAGGCAGAGTCATTAGGAGGGTTGCTGAGCGGCGGGTTGTGAGGTGGCAAGGTAGGCGAAGCCTGCCAATTGACAAACTATTCAAACAACCTGTAGCTTCACATGCAGGTGGAGATGCGAGGAGGAACCGATGTTGACTTCTCCCCGTCTCGCTGCCATGATTGTCCTTCTTTTCAAGTTTCGGCTGCGCAGACGTCATACATTTTCAGCCACAGGCCTTTCGACTTCATGCAGAGGGCAGTGGCCTCAGTACAGCGTGAGAGCTGTATGGTACGCAACAGTACCAGAACCAGTACCAAGGCGCTGGTCCCTACCGTTGGTCGTATGGGAGTGTGGTGCTCGGGCTAGGACTACCGGTAGGAACCTTTGCCTCATTTGTCAAAGCCGACTGATTTTAAGGTTAAAGTCACGGCCGCTTGCCTTCATCGTGGTTTCTTTCCAACCGGAGGCCTGGATTCCCATGTATTCAGATCTTGCAGTGCTCTGGTATGCTCCGATAGGCATCTCGGCCATGTTCCCTGGTTGCGAGGATCCTGCAGCTATGCTTGACACCTTTTCGTGACAGGTGGCCTGGTGAACCTATACGTTGATGGTTTGGCAGGCACAGTGCAAACTTAGGCGTGTCTTTGTGTGTCCATGTCCAAACGCCGGATGCGACATGACAACTGCGAACACACATCTTGACTCAAAGCAGTGTCTGCACATGCAAAATCGCTCCCTTACCTTGCAGTTTGCAGGCTCCTTGAAGCCCATCGTGATAGACAAGCGTGGTCATGTCACGAAGATTGAGGTGCGCTCTTCTTTAAACCTCTGTAGGTACCGTGGGCGGAAGCCGACCTCAATCAAACATCTCTGGTGAGTTCTCCAGTGCTAGCAACCACCACGTGTCTAAGACCTCCTCTCGAGTCAATTGAAAGACCGGAGCATCGGTCGAGGCCGTCTGCTACGCAACGCCGCCCAGCGGTTGGTTGGACGAGGAGGATGTGGCCAGGACGGTTGCAGATGTCAGCAAGCACACACGATGCGATCACTTGCAGAAGCCCGCGGAAAGACTGAAGGACGGAGGAGGATTTCGAGCCATGGCTACTGGAGGAGCATCTTGCAGGAATGTTGATTGACATAAGTTGGCGACACCACATAGTGATGAACCGTCTCGCAGAAAGCAGTCCGGCCGAGTGCAGGAACACACCAGAATTCGCTGCAGCTACTTGTGCGCAGGAGCTGGCTGACAAAGGTGCTCCCAAGCCCAAGGCTGCGTCGCCCGACCACAAATCCAAACGTGCAGATAAAGCCTGCAAGCTTTAGGATACGATGCAGTGTGTGGAGCTCTAGTCGGCTCCGGTTCCCGGGAGGTGCCGAGAGATGCAAAGCACATGTAGGTACCGTAATCGCTGGTCCGTCTGTGACGAGCTCGTGGCACACAACAGCCGTTTCGTTGCAGTTGCAGAGCACAAGAGGACTGGCCGTTGGTATACATTTATATAAATATAAATATACATGAATAAATAAATAAATAAATAAATATAAATATATATATATATATATATGTACATGTGTATCTATATATATATATATATACACACATCGGTGTGTGTATATATATATATATATATCTGAGCTCCTGATGGCCGTACATAAATTTCGGACTTCCGAAGCTTCGCAACCAGCCGAGGGATCCAGACAACCGGTTCTGATAGCGGGAAGGACGTTTCATTAGGGTTTGGGATTTAGGCTTCAGGGTTTTGGGGTTAAAGCTTTCTGCATTTGTGTATTTTTGGTCGAATGTGTCCCTAGCCCAGGATTATCCAAGATTACAACCTGACTGGGCCATCAGCCTCGTTTATCAGAAGTAGGGCGTCTTAAACCGCAGTGTGCACTTCATTGCAATAGCAAGAAGATGCAGGAGGCACCGTGAGTTAGGAACCCTGAACCCTAAACCCT